TTTTTTTTTTTTTTTTTTTATTGTTTTATAGTTAACCATTGAAATTTTGTTTTCAGTATGTTCAATTTCAACTAAAATAAAGTTCATTTAAAAAAATCATGTAAACCCACGCTTAAAATATTGTAGAAATCTAAAAAAAATCAACTAATTTTCATTCAAATTTCAAATTTATTTTCTCAGAAGTGTTACAATTTTTTTGAGTATGAAGCTTTATAGCCGATTCAATTTTAGTGTGATAATGTGCAAGTTTCAAGAGCCTTAAAACCTTTGATTCTTTTTGTCGCATTCGCTACCATATAACGAATAAACACAATTTATTTTTATATTGAAGAAAACCGCAACAACGGAAATTTTTAGCCACTTGAAACTTGCACATTATTGCAATAAAATTGAAAGGGATTTTAATCTATATACTCAAAAAATTCTGAGAAAATAATTTTACCATTTGGATGAACATTTTTAGATTTTTTTAGTTTTCTACAAAGTTTTAAATTTGGATTTGTATGGACTTCTTCAGAGAATGAACTTTATTTTAATGAAAATTCTTAAAAATAAATAAATGAACATAAGTGGAAAACAATATCACTTTGAAATGAGGCGCTCTTGATATGACTGCATGTACATTAGGGTGGTCCAAAACAGTAAAGTCGGAATTGTAATGCTCTAGCCCCCTAGGATTGTTCTATATAGAAAAAAGTGTACCCCTATTTTTTTAATTTAAAATCAAAAAATATTTAGAGGTCGCTCAAAGCGATCAAAGTTTTCCATGTATTTTTATATGGGGAAAAANGTTTATTCAGTCAATGGAAATACACATCCTTACAGGCTAATAATATTTAAATTTAATATACTATATAAAAAATAATAATATCTAAATATAATAAATAGTCTATATATATAAAAATTAAGTGTGTTACGTATGACCGCGATGCCTGACCAAACGGCTGAACCGATTTCAATTCTGTAAAAAGTGTTTTTTGGACCTTCTGTGTGGAAGGTTTTTCGATTTAAAAAAATTTGAAATTTTTTGTTGTTGTTGCCGAAATATGAAGAATGCTGAGACGTCAAGATTTCACAATTTCACAGAGTTTTCTGTACATTAAATGTCACTAAACTACTAAACGGCTGGACCGATTTGGTTCATATTTGGAACATATATCAGTACCACGAAAAGAAATATTTCTACCAAAAATTTGCTCGCTAGGTGGCGCTGGGGTCAGGATATTCCTAAAAATTGCGTTTACTTGCCGATTTGGCTCATATTTAGAATACAATTTAGCCAATTGAAAAGAAATATTTGCACTTATAATTTACACCATAGGTGGCCCTATGGCCGAGATATCCCTAAACATTATTTTTCGCTAAGAGAAGGATAGATATCTACTATATATTTGTGGAAGTATGTAGTATGTAGGTATGTGCCAGGTTGCAGCCTAAACGGATGGACAGAATCGAATGAAATTTTGGCAGAGTATTGCCATGACTCCTGGGCTTATAATAGGAAGAAAAAATTGGGATTCGATAAGGGGGCGTGGCACCTCCCATAGCCGTGAAATTTTTATCAGCAATAACTTCGGAACCATAAGCCCCACGAACTTGAAACTCGGTATACAGGCATAGCTATGGTAGGTGCATATAGTAGGCTATAAATAAATGAGTTCGTAAAAGGGGGCGTGGCACATCCCATAGGCGTGGAAATTTTAACCAGCTATAAATTGGGAACCATAAGTCACATGAACCTGAAATTTGGTATGCAGACATATCTATGGTAGAAGTTTATAGTAAGGCATATATAAATGGATTTGTAAAACGGGGGTGTGTCACATCCCATAGGCGTGGAAATTTTAACCAGCTATAAATTGGGAACCATAAGTCACATGAACCTGAAATTTGGTATGCAGACATATCTATGGTAGAAGTTTATAGTAAGGCATATATAAATGGATTTGTAAAACGGGGGTGTGTCACATCCCATAGGCGTGGAAATTTTAACCAGCTATAAATTGGGAACCATAAGTCACATGAACCTGAAATTTGGTATGCAGACATATATATGGGAGGTGTTAAGAATAAAGTATATATAAATGTGTTTGTAAAACTGGGATAAATATGTATTCAACTATTAGACCACTCTGATAGTAAAAACTGGGTTTTTTTTTTGAAACCTTAAAGTCTTTAGACCATTTTGAAATGGAAGGATTAAATCATTTTATTGATCCGGCGATGCTCCGAAACGAAACATGCGCATGTATAATGAATAAAACTACTTCTGAAATAAGCATTCTACCGGAAAAGTGCAGCTATACTAAAAGAGCTAAGCGAATAGGAAGCTAAACGGAATCTACCATAGTAGACTAATCTAAATTTAAAAATTCTATCGTTATCTTAATCCACCTTATATTAGTAATGGAACAAGATCAATATATAGTAGTTGAAGAAAATAGTTTTCCTCCTCTAATTTGTGCTGAACTGAATATTTGTATTACTGTTATATATTTTGATTTGTTTACCCCGAACGACGTCGGGTGCTCTGCTAGTAAAAATATAAAAATTCATGGATTTAATTGCATATGCGATATAAAACTTCTTTCAGACGTTCTCTTGGTAATGTAATATCCGCCAAGTTATGCCTAGTTAACACTTAATAATGCCATAGTTAGTTCGATGCCTATTAACAAAAAATAATTCCTTGTGTCGCAGTTGTTTTACAGGAGCATTTAAAGTAATGAATTCTAGCAGTTGAGATGAGTTTATTTGACCACTTATAATGTCGGCTATAAAAATTAGAGACGAGACTTTCCGTCTAGATTCCAGAGAGCTCAAGTCAATTAAAAGACAACGGGCTTTATATGATGGCACTGGCTCAGAGAAGTGCAGAGAGTGCAAGGCAAATCTTATAAACTTTTTTTGTATTCTCTCTAAACGAGAAATTAAAGAAACCTGAAAAGGACTCCATATTAGAGAAGCATATTCTAGTCTAGAGCGGACAAAAGTTGTGTAAAGTAATTTCAACGTATATGGGTCTACGAAGTCCTTACTATTGCGTTTCAGAAAGGCTAAAAGTGAATATGCTTTAGATATGATGTAATTTAAGTGCGCTTTAAAAGTAAAACGTGCATTAAATACGACCCCTAAGTCAAGAGCTTCAGTTTTAGTGGATAACACTCCAATTCCAAGGCTGAATGATGAAGGTAAGGGAGCTTATAAATAGATTCCCTTAGGAAGACGCGAATATGCGTCAAAACAAGTAGGAGGAAAATAAACGTTTATTCTATTTGTAATAAAATACCGAAGAGCTCCATACACAACATTAAACTCTCAGCTTAGTCGAGGAGAAATAATTATAACATACATGTATGTTTGATTTTTTACGGCTGCTAGTACCACTTTATATGAATTCGCTACTCTTCTACGCGAGAATCTGAAATGTGCTACTCTTCCACGCAAAAATCTGAAATGTGCTAGTATTCCACGCAAATAGTGAAATGTGCTACTCTTCCACGCAAAAATCTGAAATGTGCTACTCTTCCACGCAAAATTCTGAAATGTGCTACTCTCCCACGCGAATAGTGAAATGTGCTAGTCTTCCACGCAAAAATCTGAAATGTGCTACTCTTCCCGCAAAAATCTGAAATGTGCTACTTTTCGACGCGAATAATGAAATGTGCTAGTCTTCGACGCGA